AACACACTTATTTTTATTCATCCATTCAAGCTATACCTATGGGATTTGTTAAAAAAAATTAAAAAGTCTCTTTCAGTGCCTTCCAAGGCCCCATGGATTGGCTGAGCTTACTCCTCCCTTCTGATAGCATTCCCTCCTCAGCCACTGGGCCTCAGACTCAGGGCTCCTCTGGAGGCCCTGGAGTGTGCCAAGCTTGGTCCACCCTAAGGCTGTGACACCGGGACATTGTTATTCCTCAAGGTAAACATCGCCATGTATTACATGTTGTCCCATATTTTCCTCATCTCCGAGGCTTTGGTGAGCTTCCCTTCATAATCACAACCCAGGATTGTTTTTGCACGCATGTTGTCTACCTGTGTGCAGTCTGCCTTGTCCACTCCAGTGGACACTTTAGCTGGCCGGGGGCTCCTGTCCTGTCCTTGAACCATCAATGTTGCCATAGATACTGCCACTCAACAGTGACACACAGCACGTCCAGCCACAGCGTAGTAAGTATGTTTGGAATGAGTACGTCAGTCCACTTGTGGGTCCCTCAAAGACAAACACCCTCAGCTTTGGGTTCCTCACGCCTGACACACAAGAAGCCATCTGGTAATGTTCACTACGGAAACGAATCCCTGCTGTCTTCCAGGTACCAAGCCTGGAACTGGGCTAATGCTTCCTTAGGCAGTTTTGTGGAGTGAAAGCAATATATACAAATAAATGCTCAAAGCATCGTGAGATCAGACAGGGGTGAAGGCAGGCGTCCCCGAGACTCTGCATCCGAGCGGAGCCACACGTGAAGAGAATTCATCAGTCAGTAAGCAAACCAACGACAGCTCCCACAGAGGAAGCCACCGCTCATTCCCATACACAGCCAGCAAGAGTGCAGCTAGTTACAGAGCAAGGGAGTACTGCAGGACGGGGCCGGAATGCAGGTCCTGCACAGCTCTGTACAGCATGCAAAGCGGGCTTAGTCTCTATCCTCTGAATTACTGACGGACTCCAGTGTTTGTTGAGAACAAGCACTTATGTTGAATTTTGTTTCTGAGACTTTTTGGTTGTGGTATGGAAGACAGATTAGAGAGAATCCGCAGCAGAGTCTAGGCTCTAAGCAAGCCATTCCAGTACAGAAGTGAGTGATGCGAGTCCTAGAATGCTTACGGTAAACAATCAACAGGACCTGGGGGAGCGCTGACTGTCTGAGGTGAGGGGTTAAAAATCAGCATTGATACAAAGCTTCTGGTTGGATCGGTAAGTACCACTGGGTGTGCCGAGGCAGGATGGAGGGGAAAGCCGGAAGAGGTGCGGGTCAGTGGGGGACACCGAGTAACAAGTGTTCCAAGGCATCTGATTTCCATTAGGAGGCAAGATATGCTGATCTAGAGACGAGAGACACGAGTCTACGATGGTGAATTTTTATTGCCAACTTGATTAAAGAATACCTTGGGCATTAAAGAGACACACCTTGGAGTGTGTGAGGTTGTTTCTACAGAGGTTTAACAAGACAAAAGACCCACCCTGAATGTGGACAGCATCTTCTGCGGGGCTGGGACCCTGGACTGGATAAAAAGGGGGGATTCCACTGAACACTGCCCCTCCCCTCTCTTCTTCATGACCTGAGGGGATGTGGCGAGCCCCAGATACATGCTCCCACAACCATGGACACTCCTGCGCCTGCCCTGCCATGATTGATTGAGGATTACCTTTCCAATCCCGGGCCTAAATAAATCCTTCCTCTTAGAAGTTGTTCCTGTGATGAGGAAAGTAACGGACACAAGGCACTGTTAAGATGCTGCCATTGTGGGTTAGAGCCAGGGTTGGTGGACAGCGGGAAGACAGAACTCTACAGAGAACACACAATGAAGAGAAGGCATGGGCAGCATGTCACCAGAGGACCAGAGCAGGAATATCTTACAGATGATGGAACCTCCCTGGGACATCCCGGGGGTCATACAATAAATATTCTGGAAAGAAAGGCGAAGGGAGTTTAGACACCTATGTTTAGTTTCTGGAATTGGATTAGCTGGCTGTGATTTAGCTAGCTGTGATCTCTTAAAAAGAAATCTTCCTGAATCCTGCTCACTCATGCCTTTAAAATGCTCCCCAACGTCAAAGAGTGAGAGGTTTTTCTTGGCAGAATTATCACAGTGCCACTCAAATGTCCCTCTGTGCTGTTGCTGGAAGGTCAAGTATTTCAGGTCAGGTAATTCAGGATCTGACTTGGACTGGCATTTCTCGGCTGTCACTCACTCCACAAGGTAACTCTAGGTAACTTTAAACACCCATGAGCGTGGTGCCAGTGGGCAGGACACAGAAGGCTCTGGTAGCTTCCTGTCCTCAAGCAGTTCTGGCAGCCCTTCACACGATCCACAGTGGGGAGGGGATAACTGCTACCTCATTTTAGCTTCTTGGTTTGTGAGAGAGACATCAAGGTGAATGAGTTAACGACACAGCCTTAAAAAACAGTACAGAAAAAAAAAAAGGGTGGGCAGAGGTAACGAATTTTTTTTAATCCCAGCGTTCCGGATGCAGAGGCAAGCAGATCTCTGTGAGTTCAAAGCCAGCCTGATCTACAGAGCGAGTTACAGGACGGGCCCCAAAGCTATAGAGAAACACTTCTTAAAAAAACAACAACAACAACAACAACAAAAAAAAAACCAAACAAACATAAGGGCGCCATGTGCAATGCGTGCTGAGGCCAGCAGAGGGTGTCAGATCTCCCAGCGTTACAGACAGCTGTGAGCCTGCACGTGGGTGGGTGCTAAGAATCAAACCCAGGTTCTCTGGAAGAGCGCTCATTTCTCCTAACCACCCAGCCGTTTCTCTAGCCTGACTAACAGCTTTAAGAAAATGCAGGTTTCAGAAACAATAGGAGGAGGGGATTCCATCTGAATCAGAGGCGGAACAGCTGGGCTTCCAGCCCCGCCTTGTGAATCCCGAGTAGATGAGAGCTCCTTTACCCAGCATTCCTTTACCCAACAGGCGTTCTTTCCCATGCTGTCCCCACCTGGCAGAAGCCTGTGCTCTTTAAACCTTGTCCTTGTCTGGCCTCCGACCTATGTGTCATCCGTGCGTGAGGTTTATTTTTAACGCTCATATTTTAACTCTGTTCAAAATATAAATAGGTTTTCACGTACCAGCTCTTGCCAGCAGAGAGTGAGTCGTTTCTTATCTAACGCAGTCTGGTTCAGCATCTTCGGTTTCTTTTCTGCCTCAGAGATAAAGGCACTGGAAGAGAAGAGAACATCCGATTTGCAGGCTACTCAGTGAAAATCCATTTGTGCGGGACACTGGAAAGCAGACAGAGCCACGGAACCAAGGTCTTTAATTTAGGATTAAACAGTGGTGTGCTAACATTTCCAACAGAAAAAAAATGGAAATGATACCCAGACCCTGTGCCCATGTCAGCTTGGGGAAAACTATGAATTTCACTTTCTTTCAGTACTTACCCATTGCAACTGCTATCAATTTTCATAGCAAATTTACATGAAATAATACAGCGCTCTGTCTTACATATTTAAGACATATCTAGACTTTTCTAAAATAATACAGATCCAGCAGATATTTTAGAAATAAGACTGCAATAGGCACTTATCTTCTTGAAGAGTAATATTTTGGAGATGAAATTAAAAATGTGCCAACACCTTTAATCCCAGCACTCGGGAGGCAGAGGCAGGAGGATCTCTGTGAGTTCAAGATCAGCCTGGTCTACAGAGTGAGTTCCAGGACAGCCTCCAAAACAGAGAAACCCTGTCTCGAAAAACCAAAAATAAATAAATAAATAAATAAATAAAAATGAGCCAAAAAGGAAAGTACTAAAGGCTATGAATGCAATTCAAGAGGAAATGAAATGACCCCGAAATCTTGAGGAAGTAACATTGTCTGTAGTGATGATGTAAACGATATTAAAATCAATACTACCTCACTTATAAAATTAATATTATGCAAATGAGTGGTGGTGTGGAGCATACAGAAAACTGTGGAAGTGACTGGTTATTTCCTGATAGCACCTATGCACATTTTAACATACGCGTAATCTGATTAAAAAATTACACTAGAATTCCTTTCCTTTGGAAATAGTGGAATGATTTTTGCAAGAATATATTTGTAGAGTAAACACATTGTAAAGTGTTGATGAAGACAAATTAAATTTATTACAATGCATCTATAGATGCCTGTGCTGTGTTGCCGAGTGTGGACACACCTGCTGGACAGGCGTCTGCTGTCATTGTGATGAAATGAAGTGCTTTGTGAGTGTGTATACGTGAGGGTGAGCATCTGCAAAGGGAAAGCCCCGCCCAGGAGGACGAATTCACCTCTTTTCTCTGAAAGTAGGAATGTAGAGAAAATCGAAAATATATTTTTATTGTCATATCCATAATAGAACTATGGGGCGTGGAATATAGATGCACACATTATACAATAAATGTGTAATCCTTTTGGAGTGAAAACTGCCACAAAGGAAACATACACAAGGGAGCATAAAATGGGAGACCCCACACCCGCGCTCTGCCTGGTGCCTATTGGAAACCCAGGCAGATTCTCTTAGGGGATTCTACTAAAGCTGCATTTCCTGTTCCCGTTTACGGAGAACAAGAGGATTATATCCGGAGCATGGAGTACTCTTGTTGCACTCATGTGTTTACCAGAAGTACGGGAATCTCATCCCACTCAGTCCAAGTAGACACGTCACCTCCTTAGGGTCTCTCCTATCACAGAGTCTAGTGGAAATACATTTCCTCTACATCACAATTTGGGTGAGTGATAAGGAATGTGTTTCATTCATTCTCCACCTTTCAGACCAGCCTGCTCTGAGACTGTCAACAACCTGGTCACCCTGACGTGGTGAACGGCTCATCCTTGCTGTGGAGGAGGCCTCGGAAGACCTTCTGCTCTACCAAGAAAGGAGCAGGAAGCAGGAATTCGAATCTGACCTAGGGGTCCAACCTCCTTTCTCAGACCCACAGTTAGCAACTATCAAACTACCATTTTAGACATCGACACCCATGGGTGTTCTTTCAGTTGACTGGAAAAGTGAGGACAAAGAGGGACCATTAGTTATCACCCTCAAGTAACCCCTAGTGTAGAAGAGTTATTGAGCTATTACTTGCTTGCCAATACTTTCCAACATGAGAGATGGGTTATGAAGCTTTAAAAGATGCTTCAGGGGAATTATAGACAGCACTTGGCTCACGGCAGGAATAATGCTTGATATTGTTTTGTGTTGAAAAATGAAAGCCAATAAAGATAGCATGAACAGCGCATTTATTTCTTTGTTTACATAGCGTGTGATACGTATGAGGATAGAATTATATACGCGAATGTACACACAGTAGAATATCTGGTGTATCTACTGCTGTCTACTGATTTTTACCTTTAGGTGATTTAATCTCCACTAGCATTTTAGTATCTTTTTTTTTTTTTTTGGTTTTTCGAGGGTTTCTCTGTATTGTTTTGGAGGCTATCGGTCCAGCCCAGCCTCGAACTCACAGAGATCCGCCTGCCTCTGCCTCCCGAGTGCTGGGATTAAAGGCGTGCGCCACCACCGCCCGGCGCATTTTAGTAATTCTATTTCTAGCAAATCCTCACTTTTGTTTGTCTTGACGGAGTCGATTTTAAGAGATGGTCCAAGTTGCTCCCACATGGGACGTGCTGCCTCTGAAGGCTCTGAGAGAGGCCCTCCTACCATTTGTGCCGCTGCAGAAGCCCCTGCTGTTAGTGCAGGCTGCACTAGTGACTTGATTCAAACAGGAGTTGTCAAGAGCAATTAGATGAGGTTTCAGTCAAGACCCACTGTGATTTCCATCGGACTGACATTCTCGCCGACTTGTCTTGTGCATTCATCATGCTAGGAGCAGTTTGTTCAGCGAAGGATTGAGAATGGTCTTGAACCAAAAGCTAGCAAGGAACTCAACTTCCCATGAAGAACTGAAGCCTGCAGGTAACCAAAGGAGTGACTTGGGGGAGTGGCTCCTCCCTGGTTGGGACCAGAGATGACATTAGTGCCAGTTACCCAAGGAGACGTCCTGTGCTCAGAAACCACTCCTGCGTTCCTGATACACACCAACTGTGATGTGATAAAATTGGGACAAGCTAATTGTTACTCAGCAATCGGTCGCTATACCCTGCTTTTAAAGTCCCGTATTATACTGTCTGCCACCTAAAATGAAAGTCCTTAGTTGAGTTTTTTAATCAATTAAGCAGGACTTGATACAGCATTATGAACCTAATTGCCATGTGTCTGTTGAGTATCAACCTAATGTACAGTGGCATTCTGGGAGCTGATACTGTGAGGACTTCCATAAGGAGAGCATAGCGGCGGGTCTGTTAGTCTCGGCTCCTCCCTTTGGCTTATGCTGTAGTTGTCTATGTATCAGGAGGGAACACGAGTGTGTGTGAGAGCAGTTGATTTCACGTTCCTTAAAAGCTACATCCGAGCCCGGCATTAGTGGCACACGCCTTTAGACCCAGCACTCGGGAGGCAGAGGCAGGCAGATCTCTGTGAGTTCCAGGACAGCCTGGTCTACAGAGTGAGTTCCAGGACAGCCTCCAAAACAATACAGAGAAACCTGTGGGGACACCAGACCTTGAGCAGAAACCCACTTCCCCTTTGGCCAAGCGGGGGGCCAGAATTTATCTGAGAGGACAGAGAAATCTGCCCCAGAATCTAAAACGCCCCTAAAGAACTTGCCTTCTATCTTTAATGTAAGCTGGGGGCGGTTCTCCATAGTGGCTACCCAAAATGCTGCTGGGCCGGTACTTCCAAAACCTTGGTTGCCCCTTTTCTCTTTAATTTTTCTAGCCTCACAAGGAGCTGTAGGGAGAAGAAGTAACTGAGCAATCCGTTCTCCTGCAGGGATGGCAACAACCCCACTGCCCACTGATGTCATTATTTTAATCTCCCCCTCACTATCCTGGTCTATAACACCAGGGTGTACCTGGATGCCTCGAAGAATAGTACTGGACCATCCCAAGAGTAGTCCGACCGTGCCTGGGGGCAATGGCCCATGCACCCCAGTAGGGAGGGCCTGGATCCCCATTTCCGGTGTTAGGATTGCCCGGGCGGAGGGAGCGAGGTCCAATCCTGCACTCCCTGAGGTGGCTCTAAGGAGGTCTGAGATATGAAGGGGTTGCTCTGGGGGAGAAAATAAGTCCTGCCACTGCCCAGAGCAGGGGTCATTGCCCCGTACACATTGGTTTTGGGGCCCTGGGGCAGTGAAAACGGAGGCAGAGCCAATGGAGTTGGTGGCATTACATTCATACTCGCCAGGATCTTCTGTGATCTGGAGATTCATAATATTCAATTCAGTGTAATTCTCCTTGTTGATGATGAAGAATCGACCAGAGTTATTGGAAATTTCCTGAAACACACCATTCTCTTTCTTGCGCCACATCCATTCTGGGTGGGGGTAGCCAACTGACTTGCAGTACATCATGGCATCCTGCCCTTCATTTTTGTTTTCACTTCGTTTATGGCCAGTGATGTCAGGAGCCGCTTTCACTTCAATGGTGGCATTTGCTTTAGGAGCACTGACAAAGTGATATACACAGTGGTATTCGCCTGAATCCTCAGCCCTTGGCTTATTGATCCTGTATTCCATGTTGCTGGCATTCTTACGAGTGGCAGTGAGTTCTACCCCATTCCTTGTCCAGTAGCTGTGCATAAGGGTATGAGAGCTGGAAGTGAGGTTACACTGCAGGGTAACAGGAAGGAGGCTGTCTCGAATAATGACCTCTTCACTGGTGACAATTCTTGGCTCGTTCTGAGCAGCACCTGGCCCTGGGAGGAGCGAGCCAGAGACCAGCAAGAGCGAGAGGGCCAGGGCGCTGGGGAGCAAAGAGCCCGACATCCTCCCTGGCCGAAGCGCGCAGCGAATGGGCCAGGACCGGGGCCGGGGAAGGGAGGGGAGGGAGGGAGGGGGCGGGCAAGCGCGAGGGAGTGAGTGAGGAAGGCAGCGGCGCCCGAGCTCCGTCCTTCCCCGTCCTCCTCTGAGGGCTTAACTTGAATTTTTTTGTTAAAATATTAACCGACTGACTGGATGTTTCTTTTGGCTATATCTAAATCGATTTAGGTAGTTTTTAACTGTTTGAAGGGATTTAAGTATCCCTTTAATCATATCCAAGGCAATTAGAACAGTTGCTTTTGTCAACATTCACACATTTACATTTCACACTTCATACATACTGACGTGGCCACGTCCATACACACAGACCATGCATACATATCTCTCCTTGCCTAGGTTATGATTAGTTTGTTGAACTGAAACTTCTTTAACAGAACAACTCCAGTCAATCTTTTAATTAAAACTAAAGGTTGAAAAAGTCCTGTATGTCCCTCGTCATTTCTTCATTAGAGAAGTTTTGAGCTACACTCAGGGGCTACAGCCATACCCACTCCTTGTAATTCTGTAGATGCAAAGTGGAAAGGCCAGGCTTTTGCCAAAAGTTTTTAGAGATGACTCACAAAATTCAATAACCTACCCTATATAAATGTAACCAAACATTTTTATTTTATATGCCTTTGTCTTTTTCTTTACTGAATACTAATACCTCATTTATTAACTGTTACCAGTTTTTTTAAATTTGCCCATCTTTAATCTATCCTCCCATTGAGGATGATCCTCCAAACCACCCTCTAACTGAGGGCAACTTTTCATCTTAGGTTCCCTTTCTTATTTTGACCTTTGTTAGGTGAGGGCCTAGACATTTAATCCAATCCACCCTTCAACTGAGGGTTTAATCATGGAGATATCAAATATTTTTAATAAAGCAGAGATTCCACTCCTCATTTAAATATTTATAAAATATAAATGCCAGTGAGGAATCTGCTTCAGACAGATTCTAACATAATGAAAGTTAAATAACTATTACTCAGGCCAAATGGAAACATCCATACACTAGACAGTAGAGAAGACCCTAATTTGGGGTCGAGGGCATGTTTGTGTTTTCTTACAGGAAAAGAATAAAGCTTCAGTAGCGGTCACAACATCTGGTGAGATGCATGGAGCAGAAAAAACTGGACCTGAGACCGTGGGAGCCTGCTCAAGCCAGTTCGAGATCTCCTAAATCAGTGTTCCTGACCCTTGATGTCATCAAATCTACAGCCCGAGAAAGAAATAAAACAGTCAGTTCGAGATTTCCAGTTTCTCATCAGGCTTGCTACATCAACCTCCTGGACCCGTGAGTTTTCATCCCAAAGCCAACAAAACTGGAAGATTAGCAGCTAGCCTTTGATACACCTTAAAACAACAGAATTCATTTTGCCAGCTTTTCCCTTTGGGGGAAAAAGGACCCATTTAACATTTAGACATTGGTATGGACTGTGATGAATGGCAAAAGCCTTTTTTCAGTATTTGAACAGGACATGGTCACTTGAAATATCAGACTCGGTAGTTCCTGTTTCTGGAATCACAGTGTGTTTTTCTGGAGAAATGTGGTTTGTCCTGGTGCGACAAAAAGACTTTGACTCGGGTTGCATGTTCGGCTGATACTACTGACATTAAATCAACAGACTACATCACCACAGGAACAAATTGGTACCCTGTAAATAGTGCAACAAGCCTCGTGTTCATATTTTTTATAATGCTACATGTGTAACATCAATGATTGTACCTAATGTATCTGTGCAAGTGCACTCTCTAATGCTTTCCTGAGTAGATCTTGAAATGATTGTAAACTTTATCACTGTTTTGACCTTCAAATTGTATCAATAAATGAAAAACAATACCCATACCATAAAACCCTGTCTCGAAAAACCAAAAAAAAAAAAGCTACGTCTGTCTGAGCTGCCCGAGGCTGCCACCCACCTGCTTTGGCTGATGAAGGCACAGAGCACGGTCTTCATCTTCTCTTCTGGAGCCTCCTCTGAAACCTTGACCAGCTCCCTCACTTCTTCAATCCCTTCCTCCTGAGGACAAACCACAGAGCGTGGGACTTGCGGGAGAGACCACTGGTTGTCACAGCCCACAGACAACAGTCGCGTGTCTGTGCCGCTGTGGTTCAGGCAGGAAGAGCCCCCTCACTTTCTTGAGCCTAGCCGGAAAACGCGCTCCTGCTCTGGCCTGCCCTTTACTTAGGTCTAGATGAGCGTTACTGTATTATTGAGAACCATCCTGTCCCAGGTCCATCCCAACCTAACTAAGCACCATGTCACCCTCTTGGTGGGAAGCCTAGCTAATATCATGAGAAATATTCCCTAATTTTAAAATTTATATATCATTATAAAAATGTCAAAGTCAATATTTAAATGAATTTTACAAAGTAATGTAACTCTCCTGACATTCAAAAGCGACTCACTGTTCTGAGTATATCGGGTTTTTGGGAACCGGAAACAGGGTATGTTGGATGTAGCAGTGACTATATGCTGATAACTTAATAGTCTTACTTTTCCCCTTGGGTCTAAAGGCTAGGCTTCTACTCAGCATCCCAGAGGGAAAAACGGGGTCGACAGGGAAATGTCGACATTCCTGCTGCTTTGCTAGAATTTACAAAAGCTGCATTTCCTACCACCTGCCAAAATCTGGTGCCTGAGCACTCAAGTTCCATTCTTTGAACCTTCAATATACAAAGAACAGGCATCCAGTGGGGCAGATAAGTTAAAGGTATGGGCTCTGGCTTGGTCTACCTGGGTTCAAATCCAGGCAGCTACTCACGGGTAAACTAATCTCATTATACACAATTTCTCATTTACAAAATAGGAAATTAACAGGAACCGTCTCCTCCACCGCCATAGGGGGAGTAAATGTAGTCATGAAGCCATGAGGGGCTGTTGACACCGAGCAGGGAATTAGAAGTCTGGGGAACTTTCTGGTTTGTTTTGTGAGAAACTATATCTAGTCTGTCTGAAGAACAAACAATGCCAGCCTCTCGAAGTGTGTGGCCTCCACCTTGTGTGAGCCTAGTCCAGGCCCCTCTGGCTATTTTCAGAGTCTAGCCCTCCAACACCGAGAGTGGGGGAAGTCTAGCTGAAGCCAGGATTTGTCAACTTTGGGAGATGTCTTCCCCTCCTGCACGTGGGAGATAAGGAACTAGGCACTTTTTAGGTTCTGTAAGAGCAAAAGGCAGAGAAGGGATTCCGATTTGGATAGTGTGATTTGAATTCCAGGGATTTTATGTAACCTCATTTCTCGGGGTCCCCACAATAAAAGCCATGAAATACAGTAGCCCTAACTCAGTGATGTTTAACCTGAGGTCAGGACCCTGGTTGAATAGAAAATCGTATCTTTGTCCCAGTTTCCTCCTGGGGAAATGAAGCCACCTACCAAGAGGTCAGCCATTTTCCCCAGCATGTTGGACCAGTGCAGCCTGAACGTCTGGTCTCCCCAGGAACTGATGAAGGAGACACAGGGCTTCTTGGCACCAAGAGGCAAATAGCTGTAATTTCTGGAAAGGCACATTTGGTGTAGAAGTCAGTAGGCAGTCGGTGGTTTTCAAACAATTCCAGATGTTTGTTTGTGTATTCTGTGTTCTGTAGGGGTGCAGAAGCATGGGAGCAGGACTACTAATGCCATCCTTAGACTATACTGGGAGACCTGTGAACAGTGTTGAGTTACACGGCCACCACGCAAGGGGTCAAGAGTTACCACCAAACCAGTGCGGCGGTGCACATCTGATCCCAGCACTTGGAATGCGGAGGCAGGAGGAGGAGTAGTTCAAAGCCATCCTTAGCATCGTAGTGAGTTCAAGCACAGCCCGGGCTACACAAAACTCACAAAAGAAAACCAAACAAAAGAAGTTACTCCCAGACACAGGGCAAGGCTTAGAAATTATCCTCAGTGTGTAGAATGTGCTGAACAAACCTTCCTCCAAGGAGGCTTAAACTTATAAAGGAAAAAGAGCAAGATTACTTTTTATCAATATATATTCTGAGCACGTTGTATTGATCCATTGATAGAGAACTTTCTAGAGAAAAGTAAATCATATTACTAATGGGGATAAAGGCATACATCCCAATCTAAACCATCAGTTTCTCTCTCCATCCTTCCATCCATCCATCCACCCATCCATCCACCCACCTACCCATCCATCCACCCACCCATCCACCCACCCACCCATCCATCCACCCACCCATCCACCCACCCACCCATCCATCCACCCACCCACCCACCCATCCATCCATCCATCCATCCATCCATCCATCCACCCACCCACCCATCCATCCACCCACCCATCCACCCACCCACCCATCCATCCACCCACCCATCCACCCACCCACCCATCCATCCACCCATCCATCCATCCATCTACCCATCCACCCACCCATCCATCCACCCACCCATCCATCCACCCACCCACCCATCCATCCATCCATCCATCCACCCATCTACCCATCCATCCATCCATCCATCCATCCATCCATCCATCCATCCATCTACCCATCCACCCACCCACCCATCCACCCAACCATTCACCCATCCATCCATCCATCCACCCATCTACCCATCCACCCACCCACCCATCCATCCACCCACCCATCCACCCACCCACCCATCCATCCACCCATCCATCCATCCATCTACCCATCCACCCACCCATCCATCCACCCACCCATCCATCCACCCACCCACCCATCCATCCATCCATCCACCCATCTACCCATCCATCCATCCACCCATCCATCCATCCATCCATCCATCCATCTACCCATCCACCCACCCACCCATCCACCCAACCATTCACCCATCCATCCATCCATCCACCCATCTACCCATCCACCCACCCACCCACCCATCCATCCATCCATCCATCCATCCATCTACCCATCCACCCACCCATCCATCCACCCACCCATCCATCCACCCACCCACCCATCCATCCATCCATCCATCCATCCACCCATCTACCCATCCATCCATCCATCCATCCATCCATCCATCCATCCATCCACCCA